TATTTGCTGTCTATATTTATTCCTAAGATTTTTAACGAGTTTACTGTGGGGATTTGCATGCTATTGAATGTAACGACACAAGTGCAGTTGTGCTTTTTGCAAATGTGGAGGTGTTGGCACTTTGATAAGGATAGGGATGCCCCGGAATATGAACCCCAGTTTTCTATGTCATTTAGAAGGTTGCCTAGGTTAAAGCTAATATTTTTCTTTTTATTAAAGTTAATTATGAGAAAATAGTCATCAGCGTATGCATTAAATTTGATTTCCTTGTGTAAGGATATTATATCGGACAATTTATTAAAGGCTATGAGGAATAGTATAACGGAGATTGGGGATCCTTGAGGGATTCCATTGAATAAGGGTAGTGTGTTGGATCTGTGTTGACCGACACGAATTATTATTTTTCTGTTAAGCATAAAATTTCGGACGTAATTTATTATTTTCGGCCCTGTTTTCCATTCTTGAAGTTGGTCGATAATAGAATGCACACCTACTCGGTCGAAGGCTTTTGAAAAATCAAGAGTGACGAGTGAGCTGTGTTGGTGTGACTTCGATATGAGATAGTCTACGTAAAGTAGACTGTCCGAAGTCGATTTGCCTTTTTTAAATCCAAATTGGTTTTTATTTAGCAGATTGTTGTAAGTTGCAAACCACCAAAGTCTTTTGGCTATGATCTTATCTAGTGTTTTTGCTAGGCAACAGTTGAGGGAGATGGGTCTGTAGGAGGTGGTTTGAGTTTTGTCACTGTTTGGTTTCAGGATAGGAATTATAAGGCTAGTTTTGAAGGCTTGTGGTATGTGAGTATCGAATATTTTGTTAAATAGGGCTGTTATTCTGTTTTTGTAGTATTGGAGCTATTTTTGATCATTTGGTAGGAGATTCTGTTGAGTCCTGGGGCAGATCCTTTGAGGGTTTGTAGTGCTGACGCTAGTTCGAGGTTTGAAATCTGTTTTTCTATGGATTGAGCTGATGGGGAGGGTGAGTAATCTACATTATTGTTCCTGTATTTGTTGTTTCGAAAATGTTCTGGGAAGTTCATGTCGTGTGACAGGTTTGAAAAATGTTTAGCAAAGATATTGGCAATTTCGTTATTAGTTGTAGTTACTTCGTTGTTGTCTGGGTTTGTTATGGCGTGGATTTGTTTATCTGGGTTAAGTCCGCAGAAGAGTCTTATATTCGCCCATATTTTGGATGAAGGGGTTGATGGTTGGATGGTTGAAGTAAAGGATCTAGAGGCTTCATTTTTACTATTTTTTAAGGTGTATCTAAATTTTGCATTTTTATGTCTGTAGTCTTTGATGTTTTCTAGTGTTATATGGCGGTTGAGTGTTTTCCACGCTTTTTGTTTTTCTTTTTGTAGCTGGTCGAGATTTTTGTTCCACCATGGAACTCTGTAGGGGTGGGTATTTGATGAGGTTTGTGGGATGGAAAGGTTTGCGCTAGATAGAATTATTCTGTTAATTTGGGCTGCTTCTTTGTTTACGTTTTGGGAGGTTGGGTATTTTTCGTTTGATTGTTGCGTAAATAAGTTGTATTTTTCCCAGTTGGCCTCTTTTAGCTTAAAGAAGGGTATGTTGAATTTTTGTGTATTAGTTGATGGAAATAGGGTGATGATAATAGGAAAATGATCGCTACCATGAAGGTCATTCAGTATTTCCCACTTAGTGTGGGGGGCCAAAATTGGAGAGCAGAGTGTGAGGTCTATGTGTGTGTAAGTGTTGTGAGTTGAAAAATGAGTGGGAGATTTGTCGTTTAGTAGAATAAGGTGTGCATTGTCAATAAATCTTTGAGTTATTTTTCCTCGTGTGTTTGTTGTTGGTGAGCCCCAGGAAGGATGCCAACCATTGAAATCCCCCATAATTAGTGAGGGTGCTTGTTGTGTGTTAAATGCGTTTTGGAGTGTCTGGATAGTAATGTTTTTGGTGGGAGATATGTATGTTGAAGATATGTTTAATTTTAGTTTAGATTGTATATTTATGGTTATTGTTTCTAGGTCGTCTGTGGTGTTAGGGGTAGTGTGTTGAATTGACTTATGAACTAAAAGTGCTACGCCGCCAAATCTGTTGGTTGCTATGTTTGTTGATAGTTTGTAGTTTATTGGGATTGGTATATTGTTAGTGTGGTATATTGTTAGTGGGTTTCTTGGAGGGAAATTATATGCGGTGAATGTTTTTTGATGAGAATAAGGAGTTGGTTATAGTTATTTACATATCCTTTTAAATTCCATTGAATTATTATTAATGACATTTTAGTGAAGGTGAAAGTTTGTAACTTAACTTTATTAGTAGTATTAACGGTTTAAGTTTAAGTCTTACTTGGAGTTTAAGGTTCTATATGGATTCGCTGTCGCTGTTGTTGGTAAGTTGGTTTTTGTTTAGCGCTTTGGTCTTAGTCTTAGATGCTTTAAGATTAGCGGTTAGGCTTTTAGACTTATCTTTATGGAAGATTTTTATTTTTAGTGAGTCTTCTGTGAGTTGTGACGAGAATGGTGTGGTTAGTTTTCTGGTATGTGTGATGCAGTCAATAGCCATGTCTTCTAGTTTGTCGTAATCGTGGTGGTGATGGCGTTGAAGAGTTTGGCTTGATGGTAGAGTTGTTTTGACTAAACCGGTAGATGTCGTATTTAATGGAGAAGTTTGGGTTCCTGATGTGGGTGTGGTGTTCGATTTTTTATGTTGTGGTTGTGTTGTGATTGTGTGTGTATTTATATAAGTATTCGATGATTGAGGGTTAGTTGTCATCTGAGTTGTGGCGTTTGCAAGTGTTTTGGCATAGGTGTTCCTCAATTGAGATCCGTGTCGTTCGAAGTAAATGCGATGGGCAGTTTTGTGATCAACTTTTTGTGTGGTTTTAATAGCTGTTAGTTCTTGATTTTTTATGAAAGTGGGGCATTTGCGGACGGTTGGGCTGTGCTGATGGTCAAGTTCTGGGCTGTTTTTGCAGTTTAGGCATTTTTTTTCGTTTTTGCATGTTTCATTGTCGTTTGTGTGTTTTGTTTCTGAGCAATTAATGCAGGTTTCGGAGCTTTTGCATATTGGTGCTGGGTGACCAAAGCGCAGGCATTTTCTGCATCGGAGAGGAAGTGGGAAATACTCTCGTACACGCACTGTTTCGTACCCGATTCGCAATATTTCTGGGAGTTTGTGTGTTTCAAATGTTATAATGATCAATCCGGCTTCAACAAGAGTGGTTGCTGCTATCAGAGTTAGTGTTGCGGTTTTGTCGTTTCATTATTTTTTTTACTTCGCTTACTTTTTGTGGTTTTAGTTCTTGTAAGATAGTTTTTGAGGTTATTTTTTTTTTTTTTTCTTTTTTTTTAAATTTTTTTTTTTATTTTATATAATTTTTTTTTTTTCTTTTTTTAATTTTAATTTTATTTTTTTTATTTTATTTTTTAAATTTTTTTTTTTTTTTTTTTTTTTTTTTTTTTTTTTTTACATCACTCGACTATAGCGTTTTTTCTTATTTCTGTCGCTAACAAGCACTTTCGGGTGTCCATATTGTTCACCGACTTCGGCGCTTAATTTACTTGAAATTGTTATCAGCAAAGTTTTGGCTTCGCCTTCTTTTGTCTTTCAAAAGTATTTTACAAGCATGCGAAATTCCTTTTATCAATTTCATTTACAATAATTCAAAAACTAAAAAAAATGTTAACCGAACCTCCCAGGAAAAACATTTATTTTAATTAATATTATATTAACTTTTATTTAATCTTCGAAGTAGAAGAGACACTATTCACCTCGTTATTTTATGTCATATTCAAAAGATGTACGGGTGATTACTTGGCCCAAAGCTGGTGCTCAATAAGTCAAAAGCAATAGTGGTACTTCCAGTGACGACGATCGATGGCTCACTGCAATAGAAACTGGAGGAATAGAAAATCAAAAAATTTTAAAATAAGGAAAGAAGGTCAACATTGTTTCTATAATTAATCACACGTTACGAATATAAACTTTATTGAAATGCAAATTACCCTTCAAAGCGGTTCCAAAAAATATAAAAACTAGAAGATAAAGTGCTTCATAAAAAAGGAAACCATCAATCATCGGTCTTTGTCATTGAAACCAAGCTATTTTAAAGCTATTAAAGTTTACAGTAAGAATACAGGTCAATTGTAATTTCCTTGTAGCCTGATAATAAATAAATAAAACTAAGTGATTTGTAAATGGTTTAATATAGACTTACGATCAAATTGTTTATTATTTCATGTTGTTCAGTAACGATTCGCTGTAAATACTGCAGCTCGATCTTTAAAAGTTCTAGACTCGCAACTCGCTCAAATACCTGTGACTGATAAACTTCCTTACTATGGTGCTGATTCGTTATGGTTTTAAACCGATTGTAAGTCCCGAAAGCTCTGTTTTTCTGTGTCGACATCTTTTCCAAGAAAATCAGATATGTACCAAAAATCCGATGCAAACTTCTTAAAACTGCTTACATATTTAGAATACTGTTAACAATTACAACAGTAAAGCTGTTGTATCTAACTTGTAGTCTGTAGATATCATCTATAAACAGCCCAACTCTTTAAAGTTTTTCCATTTTAATGGGAGAGTAAGGGCTTTAAACGTAAACCCATTTCTGATTTTTACAGATAATATATTTGCTGACCTTATTTTGGTGGATTTTTATTTAAATTGAAAACTCAATTCCAGTCCAGTTTGATAATAATATTTAATAATTTCATTTTTTTAGCTGCGTATCTGTAATTTCAAGCTAGTACATTCAAAGATTAAACAAGAGTTATAGCATTGGTTTGTCTATCTTCTGTTTCATATCGGACAGACTTTTTTTTTATATCGCTCCGCTGCGAAACTAAAAAATACACCACAAATAGCCGAATGCTATTTTGCCGAAAGACGATCAGATCATGTGCTTTGGAAATGATCAATTACAAAGGGTTTTAATTACTAAGATAAGTGATAATACCGTTTGTTACAAATAAAGCAACGTGTAAGAACGTAAGCTTTGTAACAAAAAAGCCATAATGAGCAGGACTCGGCAGCAAAAACAAGACGAACGTCGGCTTGCATTTTTGTCGCTTTGTCAACTTCCGCTGGCAAAATAAATATTTTGAAACTGTAAAACAAAGTATCGGGTATCGATTATAGCGTCCTTCCCGTTTTATTTCATTTTTTCAAGGAACCAAGACAAACTGGATATTTTGGTATATACACATAATACATATATAATCAAACCAAAATAATCACTAGCCTAACTATCACTATATTATATAAATGAACAAACACAAACAATATTGTGTTGTGTGAGATGGTGACAAAGCCAAACGGATCTTGGAAAGAGAAAAGGGTTTCTCTCTTAGTTTTCTCTCCCTGTTACGAATCTTTTGTTATGTATTCTATTTATTAACTCACTTACATGCAGACGAGAGTGTGCGGTTGTAAATTAAAGGTATAATTAAGGAGTTTTATTATTTGCCAAATCGAGGGGGATTAATATTCACGATAAATATTAAACTCAACCAAAAGTCTTTTTCATTAAAATTTATTCATATAAGGCACACGTGGACAGTGACGTCATTGTCCGTTATTAAAATGGTTTAAGACAGTCACATCACTCGACTATAGCGTTTCTTCTTATTTCTGTAGTAAACAAGCACTTTCGGGTGTCCACATTGTTCACCGACTTCGGCGCTTAATTTACTTGAAATCGTCATCAGCAAAGTTTTCGCTTCACCTTCTTTTTTCTCTCAAAATGCCGTATTTTACAAGCATGCAAAATTCCTTTTATCAATTTCATTTACAATAATTCAAAAACTATAAAAAATATTAACTGAACCTCGCAGGAACAACATTTATTTTACTTAAATATTATATTAACTTTTATTATATCTAAGAAGTAGAATAGACACTATTCACCTCGTTATTCTATGTCAAATTCAAAAGATGTACGGGTGATTACTTGGCCCAAAGCTAGTGCTCTATAAATTAAAAGCTCGATTAAAGATCGATGGCTCACTGCAATAGAAACTGGTGGAATAGAAAATCAAAAAATTTTAAAATAAGGAAAGAAGGTCAACATTGTTTCTATAATTAATCACACGTTACGAATATAAACTTTATTGAAAAGCAAATTGCCCTTCAAAGTGGTTTCAAAGAAATAGAAAAGCTAGAAGATAAAGCGCTTCATAAAAAAAGAAGCCATCAATCATCGGTCTTTGTAATTAAAAATAAACCATTTAAAAGATATTAAAGTATACAAAAAGGATAGAGGTCAATTGTAATTCCGTTGAAGCTGATAATAAATAAATAAAACTACATAAGTGATCTGTAAATCGTTTAATATGGACTTACGATAAAGTTGTTTATTATGTCATGTTGTTCAGTAACGATTTGCTGTAAATACTGCAGCTCACTCTTTAAAAGTTCTAGTCTCGCAACTCGCTCAAATATCTCTGACTGATAAACTTCCTTACTCTGGTGCTGATTGTTTATGTTTTTAAATCGATTGTATGTCCCAATAGCTCGTAGTTTTTCTATATCGACATCTTTTCCAAGCAAATCAGATATGTTATAAAAATCCGAGGCAAACTTCTTAAAACTGTTTACATATTTAGAATACTGTTCGCACTTATTCTTATACTTTATTCTATTATCAGTAAAGCTGGGGTTTTCAACTCGTAGTCCGTAAATATCATCTATAAACAGCCCAATTCTTTGAAGTTCCTCCATCTTAATGGAAGAGTAAATTAGAACTGTTGCGTTTCCTTTTGATATGGTTATGGATTCGTTGCTATTGACAACATGTATATCAGCCTTATACGAATAATAACTAAACACTACTTTCGTAAAAATGTTGGCTAAAAATATACGGAAAAAGTCAAAATAATCATATAGCAATTATTAAACCCAAATATTTAACTTATGTTTATAAATAATATAAAAGGTTTGGGCAGAAGTGGAGTGAACTTTAAAATGAGACCCATTTCTGATTTTTAAAGAAAATAAATTTACTGAACTTATTTTAGTGTATTTTCTTTTAAATTTGAAAACTCAGTTTGAATAGGCGTTTTAGAAAAAAATGTAAGAATTTTAGAAAAAAGGAGGAAGTATACACAGACGTTTGGATTATATAGAAAAAGCCCCCGCTTTTTGGTGCATCACATTGAGAATATAATCCTTCTGCAGCGACAGGCTTGCGGTCCAGTTCGAGTTATAGCATTGCTTTGCCTATCTTTTGGTCATCTCAAATGCGACTTAAAGATTGAACAAACTAAATCCCACATGTGCCCTGATACCATTGTAATGGTGATTGGAGGGGTACTTAGTTTTACACCCGTTACTCGTAGAGTAAAAGGGTATACTAGATTCTCTGAAAAGAATGTAACAGGTAGAAGGAAGCGTTTCAGACCCTATAAAGTATATAAATTCTTGATCAGGATCAATAGCGAAGTCGACTGAGCTATGTCCGTCTGTCCGTCCGTATGTCCGTATAAACGCTGAGATCTCAGGAACTATAAGATATACAAAAATGAGATTAACCATAAAGATTCTTGAGGTCCCTACGCAGCGAAAGTTTGTTACAACATCTTGCCTCGCCCACTATAATGCCCATAAATCACGAAAACTAATATCACTGAAATATCAGGAACTATTAGAGCTGGAAAGTTGAAATTCAGTATGTATTATATAATCTTTAGATGCCAGCGCATCTTATAGTGGTACTATTATCCGGTCACACCCACCCATACGCCTACCAAACTCAAAAGACGGTTTCGCATTTTTTAGAAAAGCTGATATCTCGGTAACTATAAGTGATAGAAAGTTCGGATTGAGCATGTAGGTTTTTATGATTCTCCCAATGCAAATTGTTTTTTCCGATCAAGCTACGCCCAACTATAAGAGCTAGAAAGTTAGGTTTAAGAGATGCCACTGCAACTTGCCACGAGGTTTCATCCGGCCACGCCCATTCTAACGCTCACAAACCGCGAAAAACCGTGGCGTCTATAATATTATTATGAATGCCTCGTTTGACCTTGTATTATCTTTTTCTTTTAATATCTATTGATTTACCAAAGAGTTTTTAAATCGGAACATTATTTCGCTACTTATGAAGAAATTTAGGCTATAAGGCCTCACATGGTTTGTGACGTCACTATCAATTACTCAACATGCTTTCTCCGACAATAGGTGGCGCCTTGTGAATTTTGTTAATTAATTAAAATTATGTAAAACAGTAACGGGAATCTTATAGTCGCGGCACTCGACTATAGCGTTTCCTCTTGTTTTTTGTTATTTCAAGGAACCAAGACAAGCTGGATCTCTTGGTATATACATTATATTGCCACCAAAAACCAAGGGACCCTCCAGAACTGGAAAAATGTCCTTTGGTCCGATGAGACAAAGATTGATTTGTTTGTATGTGATGGTAGATTTTATGTTAGATGCCCAAAAAACACAGCATTCGATCCCAAATACACCAAAAGGACGATCAAACATGGAGGTGGCAATATAATGCTATGGGGATGTTTCTCTGCTTCAGGTGTTGGTCCACTATATTGGATACAGGACAATATCTGTGCTACAGACAATTTAAACATAATGATGGATGTTATGTTAACATATGCCGAAGATGAAATGCCTTTGAAGTGGGATATTATTAAGGATAACGATCCAAAAGACACATCGTAGCTTGCTAAAAAGGGGATCCTGGACAATAAAGTCGGTGTTATGGATTGGTCAGCTTAGTCACCCGACTTAAACCCTGTTGAGCATTTGAGGGGCATTCTTAAAAAACGTTTAAGTGGTTTTAGGCCAAAAAATAAGGAGCATTTGTGGAGAAAGTCCAGGAGGAGTGATACTCCATTAAGCCAGCAATATGCTCCAATCCTGTGGAGTCTATGCCTCGTAGGTGTGCTGGAGTTTTAGAAATATCATGGTAATGCAACAAAATATTAAACCTGAAAACATTTCATTAATTTTGCTAAGCTAGTCAATTTGGATGACGATAAGTCAGTTCGTTTCTATTTTTATTTCCAAGTCAAAAACAAAGCTAAATGAATAAAGTTAAATGCATTTTTGTTTTTTAGTATGTAAGATAGATGTATATAAATAAAAAAAAAAAATAAAAATATCCACTCATCACCACGTTCCTTATTAAAAATACGTATTCAAACCCAAAGTGAAAAATCGTTTCTATTATTTTTTCCATCACTGTATTATACTTATGGTTATATTATATATCCATAATCAAATCAAAATAATCACTAGCCTAACTATAACTATATTTACATAAGAGAATTTTGTTAATTTATGTTTTGACTGATAAAATTTTTACTGGGTTTTCCCAATTCTTTGCAGCAAATACTGTTAGATAGCAAATACACAGATAAAAACGAAGAACGAGAAGACACAATAAGCAAAAACTTTTCTGAAAATAAGGTTTAATTCTATTTTATCTTTACTCATACATTCTGCAACAGTGTGAATTTTGAGGTGGCGTATTGAAAATGCAAAAGTCACAATGATACATAAACACAAACAATATTGTGTTGTGTAAGTGAGATGAGGACAGAGCCAAACGGATCTTGGAAAGAGAAAAAGATCTCTCTCCCTGTTACCAATCTTTTGTTATATTCTCTTTGCTATTATTAGAGTGTTTTATTATTTGGCAAATCGAGGTGGATTAATATTTAATATATATATATTTTTTTTTCATTTTGTATGGAAATGCCGGTCTCGGTGCTCTGGCTCTCGGTTTTTCGGTTTCATTACCAGTTTTCTCTTCAATCGACGTAGTCGGAGTTTTGTTGGGTCGCGTTCGAGTGGCAATGACAGGTATTCATCATTAGAGGAGAACCAGATTCCAGCACTTAATCATGACGGACAGATATGCCAATGGAGTCACAACCAGTCTAGTTGAGCCCACAAATGGACATACACCGTCCGGGAATCCCAGCGAGGGAGAGGAGAAGATTGTCCTGAAACGGAAACTGACACTCATCAATGGAGTGGCCATTATAGTGGGAACCATCATTGGATCGGGCATCTTCATCGCACCCACTGGAGTCTTCATATACACCGAATCCGTGGGAAGCTCCCTTTTGATTGGTTGACTTGTGGAATTCTTTCAACAATCGGAGCTCTTTGCTACGCCGAACTGGGAACGAGCATTACCAGATCTGGAGGGGATTATGCCTATCTGCTGGTATCCTTTGGACCCCTAGTGGGCTTTCTGAGGCGTTGGATAGCTCTGCTTATCATCCGGCCAACCACGCAGACCATAGTGGCTTTAACTTTTGCCCATTACGCTGCCAAACCATTCTTCCCGGATTGCGATCCTCCACAGAATGCAGTGAAACTGCTAGCTGCCATTTGTCTAACTCTGCTCACGGCCATCAACTGCCTGTCGGTGAAGGTTTCTATGAAGGTTCAGGATGTGTTCACAGTGGGCAAGCTCCTGGCCCTTATCATGATTATTCTTGCCGGACTTTACTACATGGCCACGGGCAAGTTGGAAAACTTTAGCAATCCCTGGGAGGGTATTTACAGTGCCCGCAACATTGGCTATGCCTTCTACTCTGGTCTGTTTGCCTTTGGCGGGTGGAACTACTTGAACTTTGTAACGGAGGAGCTGCAGGATCCATACAAGAATCTTCCGCGTGCCATTTGGATAGCCATGCCCCTGGTCACGGGCATCTATGTTCTGGTCAATTTGGCCTATTTCGCAGTGGTCAACAAACCGGAGATGCTCAGCTCGTTGGCCGTGTCGGTGACCTTTGGTAACCGAGTGTTTGGACCTCTGGCTTTTATGGTACCCATTTTCGTGGTCTTGAGCACCTTTGGAGGCGTGAACGGAGTACTCTTTACCTCCGCCCGACTATTTGCAACTGGAGCTCAAGAGGGGCATTTACCAAAGTTTTTCCAGCTGTTCCATGTCAAGCAACAGACTCCCATTCCCTCCCTAATTTTTACATGTCTGATGTCGCTGCTCATGCTGCTTACGGATAATGTCTACCAGTTGATCAACTATTTCAGCTCAGTACTCTGGCTTTCAGTAGTGGCCAGCATAGCCGGAATGTTGTGGCTTCGGCATAAGAGGCCCGAATTACCACGCCCGATTAAAGTCAACCTTGCACTGCCCATTATCTTTATGGTGAGCTGCGTGACGTTGGTACTGCTCCCCAATATGGAGGAGCCAGGTAATCTCTTGATTGGTATAGCCATCACTTTGGCAGGCATTCCGTTCTACTACGCTTTCATCGCCTGGAAAAAGAAGCCCAAGTGCTACGGAAGATTGTCCAACTCCGTGGTGGAGATTTGCCGGGCCATCTTCAATACCACAATAATCGAATCGAATGAAGCGATAAACTAGATATATATATGTATATATTACCCACCCGTATAGAACTTGTGCATTTAGTTATATGAGTATTCGAAAACACTGAAAACATGTTAAATTTTAAAACAGTTTTAAGCGAACTCTCCCCTGCCCCATTTGTATGATATTTTCGCTAGGCAATTGGCATTCCTCACAACGAAATCGGCATTGATTAGAATTTAATTTTTAAAGTGTATATGTATGTATTTATTTGAGATAGCTCTTCGATTAACAGGTTTTATACAACCCAAGGCCTTTTTTGGCTGACATCCCACTAAATTTTATGGTTAGGTGCCACAATCCTAATTCCTTTTTTAAACACAATCAGGAAGTTATTGAATGCGCTTTGATGGGAACAAACTATATAAAACTGTGACTTGTTTAGGGAAGCTACACAGCAGTACAATAAGCAACATATTAATGTTTTAACTTAACCGCTTAGAAAATAAATGTATTATTGCAAAAAAAAAATTAAATTCACCCAAAGTCTTTTTATTTATCATTTATTAGATATAAGGCACACATGGACAGTCACGTCATTGTCTGTTATTATCCAGCAGTAGTATACGCTAGCAAGCTAGACAATTGTTGAAAGACAAATAGTTATTTTAAAATGGTCTAAGACAGTCGCATCACTGGACTATACACTTTCAGGTGTCCATATTGTTCACCGACTTCGGTGCTTAATTTAATTGAAATTGTCATCAGTAAAGTTTTACGTCGTTATTCTATGTAAAATTTAAAAGATGTACGGGTGATTACTTGGCCCAACACGGTTGCTCAAAAAGTTAAGAGCAATAGTGGTACTTCCAGTGACAACGATCGATGGCTCACTGCAATAGAAACTGGAGGAATAGAAAATCAAAAAACTTTAAAATAAGGAAAACAGGTCAACATTGTTTCTATAATTAATCACACGTTACGAATATAAACTTTATTGAAAAGCAAATTGCCCTTCAAAGTGGATTCAAAGAAATAGAAAAGCTAGAAGATAAAGCGCTTCATAAAAAAGGAAGCCATCAATCATCGGTTATTGTAATTAAAAATAAACCATTTAAAAGATATTAAAGTATACAAATGGATAGAGGTCAATTGTAATTCCGTAGAAGCTGATAATAAATAAATAAAACTACATAAGTGATCTGTAAATCGTTTAATATGGACTTACGATAAAATTGTTTATTATTTCATGTTGTTCAGTAACGATTTGCTGTAAATACTGCAGCTCACTCTTTAAAAGTTCTAGTCTCGCAACTCGCTCAAATATCTCTGACTGATAAACTTCCTTACTCTGGTGCTGATTGTGTATGTTTTTAAATCGATTGTATGTCCCAATAGCTCGTAGTTTTTCTATATCGACATCTTTTCCAAGCAAATCAGATATGTTATAAAAATCCGAGGCAAACTTCTTAAAACTGTTTACATATTTAGAATACTGTTCGCACTTATTCTTATACTTTATTCTATTATCAGTAAAGCTGGGGTTTTCAACTCGTAGTCCGTAAATATCATCTATAAACAGCCCAATTCTTTGAAGTTCCTCCATCTTAATGGAAGAGTAAATTAGAACTGTTGCGTTTCCTTTTGATATGGTTATGGATTCGTTGCTATTGACAACATGTATATCAGCCTTATACGAATAATAACTAAACACTACTTTCGTAAAAATGTTGGCTAAAAATATACGGAAAAAGTCAAAATAATCATATAGCAATTATTAAACCCAAATATTTAACTTATGTTTATAAATAATATAAAAGGTTTGGGCAGAAGTGGAGTGAACTTTAAAATGAGACCCATTTCTGATTTTTTAAAGAAAATAAATTTACTGAACTTATTTTAGTGTATTTTCTTTTAAATTTGAAAACTCAGTTTGAATAGGCGTTTTAGAAAAAAATGTAAGAATTTTAGAAAAAAGGAGGAAGTATACACAGACGTTTGGATTATATAGAAAAAGCCCCCGCTTTTGGTGCATCACATTGAGAATATAATCCTTCTGCAGCGACAGGCTTGCGGTCCAGTTCGAGTTATAGCATTGCTTTGCCTATCTTTTGGTCATCTCAAATGCGACTTAAAGATTGAACAAACTAAATCCCACATGTGCCCTGATACCATTGTAATGGTGATTGAGGGGTACTTAGTTTTACACCCGTTACTCGTAGAGTAAAAGGGTATACTAGATTCTCTGAAAAGAATGTAACAGGTAGAAGGAAGCGTTTCAGACCCTATAAAGTATATAAATTCTTGATCAGGATCAATAGCGAAGTCGACTGAGCTATGTCCGTCTGTCCGTCCGTATGTCCGTATAAACGCTGAGATCTCAGGAACTATAAGATATACAAAAATGAGATTAACCATAAAGATTCTTGAGGTCCCTACGCAGCGAAAGTTTGTTACAACATCTTGCCTCGCCCACTATAATGCCCATAAATCACGAAAAACTAATATCACTGAAATATCAGGAACTATTAGAGCTGGAAAGTTGAAATTCAGTATGTATTATATAATCTTTAGATGCCAGCGCATCTTATAGTGGTACTATTATCCGGTCACACCCACCCATACGCCTACCAAACTCAAAAGACGGTTTCGCATTTTTTAGAAAAGCTGATATCTCGGTAACTATAAGTGATAGAAAGTTCGGATTGAGCATGTAGGTTTTTATGATTCTCCCAATGCAAATTGTTTTTTCCGATCAAGCTACGCCCAACTATAAGAGCTAGAAAGTTAGGTTTAAGAGATGCCACTGCAACTTGCCACGAGGTTTCATCCGGCCACGCCCATTCTAACGCTCACAAACCGCGAAAAACCGTGGCGTCTATAATATTATTATGAATGCCTCGTTTGACCTTGTATTATCTTTTCTTTTAATATCTATTGATTTACCAAAGAGTTTTTAAATCGGAACATTATTTCGCTACTTATGAAGAAATTTAGGCTATAAGGCCTCACATGGTTTGTGACGTCACTATCAATTACTCAACATGCTTTCTCCGACAATAGGTGGCGCCTTGTGAATTTTGTTAATTAATTAAAATTATGTAAAACAGTAACGGGAATCTTATAGTCGCGGCACTCGACTATAGCGTTTCCCCTTGTTTTTTGTTATTTCAAGGAACCAAGACAAGCTGGATCTCTTGGTATATACATTATATTGCCACCAAAAACCAAGAGACCCTCCAGAACTGGAAAAATGTCCTTTGGTCCGATGAGACAAAGATTAATTTGTTTGTATGTGATGGTAGACTCTATGTTAGATGCCCAAAAAACACAGCATTCGATCCCAAATACACCAAAAGGACGATCAAACATGGAGGTGGCAATATAATGCTATGGGGATGTTTCTCTGCTTCAGGTGTTGGTCCACTATATTGGATACAGGACAATATCTGTGCTACAGACAATTTAAACATAATGATGGATGTTATGTTAACATATGCCGAAGATGAAATGCCTTTGAAGTGGGATATTATTAAGGATAACGATCCAAAAGACACATCGTAGCTTGCTAAAAAGGGGATCCTGGACAATAAAGTCGGTGTTATGGATTGGTCAGCCTAGTCACCCGACTTAAACCCTGTTGAGCATTTGAGGGGCATTCTTAAAAAACGTTTAAGTGGTTTTAGGCCAAAAAATAAGGAGCATTTGTGGAGAAAGTCCAGGAGGAGTGATACTCCATTAAGCCAGCAATATGCTCCAATCCTGTGGAGTCTATGCCTCGTAGGTGTGCCGGAGATTTTGAAATATCATGGTAATGCAACAAAATATTAAACCTGAAAACATTTCATTAATTTTGCTAAGCTAGTCAATTTGGATGACGATAAGTCAGTTCGTTTCTATTTTTATTTCCAAGTCAAAAACATAAAATTTGACTTAAATACATTTTTTTAGCTAAATGAATAAAGTTAAATGCATTTTTGTTTTTTAGTATGTAAGATAGATGTATATAAATAAAAAAAAAATAAAAATATCCACTCATCACCACGTTCCTTATTAAAAATACGTATTCAAACCCAAAGTGAAAAATCGTTTCTATTATTTTTTCCATCACTGTATTATACTTATGGTTATATTATATATCCATAATCAAATCAAAATAATCACTAGCCTAACTATAACTATATTTACATAAGAGAATTTTGTTAATTTATGTTTTGACTGATAAAATTTTTACTGGGTTTTCCCAATTCTTTGCAGCAAATACTGTTAGATAGCAAATACACAGATAAAAACGAAGAACGAGAAGACACAATAAGCAAAAACTTTTCTGAAAATAAGGTTTAATTCTATTTTATCTTTACTCATACATTCTGCAACAGTGTGAATTTTGAGGTGGCGTATTGAAAATGCAAAAGTCACAATGATACATAAACACAAACAATATTGTGTTGTGTAAGTGAGATGAGGACAGAGCCAAACGGATCTTGGAAAGAGAAAAGATCTCTCTCCCTGTTACCAATCTTTTGTTATATTCTCTTTGCTATTATTAGAGTGTTTTATTATTTGGCAAATCGAGGTGGATTAATATTTAATATATATATTAAATTCACCCAAAGTCTTTTTTATTTATCATTTATTAGATATAAGGCACACATGGACAGTGACGTCATTGTCTGTTATTATCCAGCAGTAGTATACGCTAGCAAGCTAGACAATTGTTGAAAGACAAATAGTTATTTTAAAATGGTCTAAGACAGTCGCATCACTGGACTATACACTTTCAGGTGTCCATATTGTTCACCGACTTCAGTGCTTAATTTAATTGAAATTGTCATCAGTAAAGTTTTACCTCGTTATTCTATGTAAAATTTAAAAGATGTACGGGTGATTACTTGGCCCAAAGCGGTTGCTCAAAAAGTTAAAAGCAATAGTGGTATTTCCAGTGGCGACAATCGATGGTCTCTCTTTTCGATAAGTTATGTTATTATATCAATAATTAATAAAGCTACTGCTCTTTTTAATCGTCCAAATCACACTGATTTTTTATTTTTAAATCTGCCCTTTTAAGGCTGAGACCTAACTCTAAGTACATAGATTGGAAGACACATGTCATGGTCAGCATTTTCGGCTGCGACTGATGTTGCGACAACTCCAAAAATGCAGCCGGTCACGTATACGTTTAAGAAAATGATTCGTCAGCATTATGGCTCCCCTGGCTGCTCCAGCAGATAAGAGTTAATATTCCGCTTTCCTCGGCAACTGCTGCTCAACGCCATTAGTTTGTATTGTTTTATTATGATCACGCACTCGGGGGCTTAGGCGGGGTTAATGATAGAGCGGAGCTCGTAACTCTTCCCTCCCCAAGTCGGAACGATGGCTATAGAGCAGGTATAGCCTGGGTTACAAAAGGTTCCGGGGCGGCAGTTGTCAAGATGACCGTTTTCCTTTTGCATGTCCAAGCTGTAAGTGTGTCCAAAATACAGATTGCGATTACTAGAGGTCGTCCCTCTGTCGATGTAGATCTCCTTGGTTGGCAGGGTTTGCAAGGTTAGTGTTTCGGTAGGTGACTTCAACTCAAGAGGGCACCAAATAAAAGATGTAATTACCAAATCAATCGTGACTATTCTTAATGATGGCTCAGCTACCCATCATTTTACCCACAACTCCGGCTATTGACTTTACTTTAGCATGCGCATCATTTTTCCCTTTCTGGAAGTGTTCCGTAAAATTCTCTCTTTATGGAAGTGATCACTATCCTATAGTTACACACATACATTTGGAAACCAATCTTAAAAACTTTCCACCACCTTCGAAATTCAAATTAGATAAGGCAAATTGGAATCTGTACCGCGCCGAATGCAAAGTCAGCTTTGATTTTCGTTTAACGACAACCCAAATCTGATTGCAGCCAGAAACATAAAAGGAATTAAAGCAGCAGCTAATGAAGCAATCCCGCAAACCAAACCCTGTCCATATCAGCGAATTGTTCCTTGGTGGGGTCAAACGCTTCAAGATGTAAGGAACCAAAAGCAATCCCTTTGGCATACTTAAAAACAAACTAGGAGCACTGCTGCTTTGATCTCTAATAGGAAATCCAATGCCCTATTTAAATACAAATCTAAAATTCACATCAAATATGAGCCCTTTATCTTCTACTAAGAAGACATGGTCCGATCTAAATCGCCTAATTGGTATCTCCTCATATAGCCCCAGGACAATTAAATATAAAGATAAAAACTGCATCACTCCACAGACATTTGCGACGCTTTTGGGAACTTTTGGTCTGGCTATTCCAGGAACGACAACTTCTCCCATCAATACAAGACCCGCAAAGAAAAAATTCTCTCGCAAGATTACACAGTAACAAATTTGTCCGCATCTGCTACTGGTCTCGACTCTAATTTTACCCGTAGTGAGCTTGAATATGCCCTTCATTACGCGAAAGGTAAAACTCCCCGGTATAGACCGGATTTCATACCCAATGCTTAAACAGTTGCCCTCCGAAGCTAAGTACCGCCTATTGGAAATGTACAATGAAATGCTTGGTAATGGCTCCTACCCCACGTCTGGAAATCCGCCATTATAATCCCAATTTCAAAACCTAATAAACCAACCCACGAAATATCTTCCTTTAGACCCATTTCCCACCTTCCCTGCTTAAGCATGACTCTTGAAAC